GAGATGTCTCGTATTCCTTACTCTTCTGCCGTTGGTAGCTTGATGTATGCTATGGTTTGCACTAGACCAGATATTGCACATGCCGTTGGCACTGTTAGCAGATTCATTTCCAATCCTGGAAAAGAACATTGGGATGCAGTAAAATGGATATTAAGGTATTTAAAAGGTACTGCAGATTTGAAGCTGTGCTTTGGCAATGGCAAGCCTGAACTTGTTTGTTACACAGACTCTGATTTAGGAGGCAATCTTGATAATTCAAGATCCACTTCCGGTTATTTGATCACTTTTGCAGGGGGAGCTGTTTCTTGGCAATCTAGACTACAGAAGTGCATAGCTCTATCCACCACAGAAGCCGAATATATTGCTGTCACAGAAGGTGCCAAAGAACTATTATGGATGAAGGAGTTTATTAATGATCTTGGCTTTGAGCAGCCACGGTACATCTTATTTTGTGATAATCAGAGTGCTATCTGTCTCACCAAGCACTCCACTTTCATTCTAAGACCAAACATATAAATAGAAAGTATCATTGGATAAGAATGGCCATGGAAGAGAAATTATTTGAGGTTGAGAAGATACACACTGATGAAAATCCTTCGGATATGCTGACAAAGGCGGTGGTTGCAGATAAACATGAATTTTGTAGAAAATTGTCAGGCATGAAGCCTGTCAATAGTTCCTCTACTTGAAGACACATTTGGCCCCTTGGCTCGAGGGGGAGTTTGTTGGGCACATGCCCATGTTGTCCAGCCAAAGGCCCAATGGCCTAATCCTATTCTCTTTTGGTTTCCAATCCTATTTGGAATTGGATTCGGTTTATTCCTATTTTGAGTGGGTTTTGGCTTTAAGAGAAAGCACCACTCATGATCTATAAATAGGACAACCTTGGAGAATTATTCTATGCTCATTGATACAAGTCTTTGAAAGACTTAAGCACATAAGAGTGGGTTTTGAGAGAGCTTTCATCAAGAGAGAAGAGAGAAAAAAAGTATTTATTTTGCTGCAGATTTTTATTCCGACCAGCCAACTTCAAATTAAGTTTTCCGATTCGTTAACCGTTGGATCGGGCTGAAATTTTGACTGAGTGTTCATAACATCTTGGTCTTTTATTTGAACGGTGAAGATCGGATTTGGAGGCTCGTAGCATCTGATTTCGAGCCTCGAACAGCAGCTTCGTTTTGTGGATTATACTCTTTCTTCAATTGATTAATTGTTGCTCTTGTTGCTGTTGTTGCTCCGTATTTGGCCCTTGTTGTGTAGCCAATTTGGAGAACTTTTGTAACCCTCTTATTGTTATAGTGGAGCTTTTTGGATCTTTGTGATCCCGTGGTTTTTACCTTCGATTTGAAGGGTTTTCCACGTTAAAATTTGGTGTTCTTTATCTTCTTTATTTTCGGATTTGCCTCTTCCTCGACATAACAAATACCAATTCATGTGCAAAAAGGAAGGGAAAAAAAACAAGAAGAAAAAAAGTAGAGGTGACTTTTAGATCTGCATAGATAAATAAAGATAGAAATTATTTACGAGTAAAATGATAGTAAATCGTATGAATGTGCACATTATAGGAAAGATAAATTCATAAGAGTAGAATAAATTGGGGGTAAGGGTCATTCATTTTGTGGATCATATCAGATGAGATAAGTAGAAGTAAAAGAAAATGATCTAATGTGTATTAAGATTAAGACATTTGAATCTGAATATACATTTGCATAGATTAAGATGTGTATTAAGATCTGAAAATAAATAACTAAGACTGTTTGATTTTTGACATCTAAATGTATAAAATTTATCTTTATTTGAAAATTAATAAACTTAAAAATTCAAATGAAATAACTAATCTAATATTCTATCAATAAAATATATAGTTTTTTAAAATATGATAGTTGTTGGTGGTGATGGCTAACAGGTGAATGCCGACTAGAGGCGGTGGTTGGTGGTAGTTTTGGTTGATGATGGTGGTTCATGCTGGTAGCTAGTAGTGATTGGTAGTGGAGGCGATTATGATTGAGGATGGTGGTGGTGGTTGATGATAGTTAATAATGGCGGGTGGTGGTAATAGTTGTGACTGAGGAAGGTGGTGGGTTGGTGGTGGTAGGTTATAATGATGGGCAGCGTCGGTTGTGGTTGTTGATGGTGATGGGGTGGTCAGTTGTGATAGTTGAGGTGGATGAGTGTTGATTGTGGGGGAGAATGATGGTGGTCAGAGTGGTGGGGATAGTGGGTGGTGATGGTCGATAATGGTGGCGGCTATGATTGAGGATGATGGTGACGTGGTGGTGGTGGTGGTGGTTGAGTATGATGGTGGTGGCGACATGGTGGTAGTTGATAATGATAGGCAGTGGCGGCAGTTAATAATGAATATGTGATAGCATCTTAATGAAATTAAGTCTCTGTTATAGATCTTAATCATACAGACCTATTCAGACCCATTAAGTGGTTGTAAAGTAAAAAAAACAAACACACTTAATGATTAAGATCTGAATAATGAAGATTCAGACTTAAAAAACAAACGCACTTAATGTCTGAGATCTGAATGATTAAGATTCAGACCTCTATTAAGTGCAAACAAATGAGGCCTTAGTGCTTGTAGAAATGACACCAGGTAGCCACTCTAAAAGGTTGCTATTTAGAAATTAGCCAGTGTGTCCTGAATTTCAATTTTTCAGGACAAAAATATAATGAGTTGTCCTGAAGTTAAGATTCTTTGTTTAAAATTTCAGGACAAAATAAGTATTGGCTAATTTCTAAATAACATTCCTGAAAATGGCTATTTGTGCACTTACTCCGAGGGTATTAGTTTCACAAGACATGTTATTCAGTTATGCACACAAAAACAGTGCATTGAGTTTTCATTCATTAAACACACATACATGTAGAACATAATAATATCTGCCAACCCAAACACATATATATGAAAGTTATCAAATCTTGGCAACTCAAATACATATATATAAATACTATTTGCATTTGGCAATTCAAAACTCGACTAACACGAGTGACTATTATTCAGCCAAGCTGAGAACATCGACGAGTAGAAAAGAAAAGAAGATCAGTATAAGAACATAATCAATCTTCATTGGTGAAAAAGATCAACAGCTTGACGCGAACTGCTTATACTAACTACGCTTATTCCTTCCGCATTAACCTTGACACCATATGCTCAGATTTCTGAAAAGAAAAGAAAAAAGTGTTAGCAGATTATATCACTGACATTGTGCTATAGAACCGAACTACAGAATCAAGCAGACTAGATATAATTGTGTTTGGCAGTAACTTGATCAGACACAAAATCTGTTCAGATGATCTCAGAGCTACTCATTGTATATAGACCCTTGGCGTAACTGGTAAAGTTGTTTCCACGTGACCAGGAGGTCATGTGTTCGAGCTGTGGAAACAGCGCAGAAATGTAAGGTAAGAGGATTGCGTACAATAGAGCCTTGTGGTCCGACCCTCCCCAGACCCCGCACATAGCGGGAGCTTATTGCACCGGGATGCCCTTTTTTTTAAGAATTGACTCTATACACCTTAATTATCACATTCCACCAGTTGTTTAAACAGACAGTCCTACAATATTATACAGCACACCTTGCCTTTCTGTGAACATTTGAGTATAAAACTGTGACTAGTATTTTGCACAGATCAGTTGATACGGAATTTGTTTTGGCAGTTGCAAATCACTGATGTTATCTGATTTATGTGAACGTATTACACCACATTTGAACTTGAATATCCATTTGATATCAAGTATGTAACTTCTTGAAGTTTACAATACGGACAGGTTCTTCAAAACTGTAGAAAAGCTCAGATAGAAGAAGAAATGCTAAAACTTTTTGAAAAGGATGTGACGAAAGCATGTTATTCTATTGATTGCTGCAGCGACGAGCTCTCTGATTAGTTAACTAAAGCACAATTGAGATCAGACACTCGGCGCTGAAATTATGCACCACTTTGTAGTGCTGGCTCATACGGAATATGCAGTTGCAGAAGCCTTTATAATCAGATCAAACAAACAAAAGATCAAGATCTCTACATAAGATGAATCTTCTATTCTGTCGCACTTTGTAGGTGGGAAGTGAGTGGGGCAGGAACGAGAAGGGCCTAATGATTGGTCGTTTCTGTAGACAATAATTTGAAGAAACAAACTTTACAATTATGACATGTAAAAGGAAACTAACCTGCTCAGTGTGTGGCAGATACTTTCCATCAAAAGTCACAACAACACGATCCTTCCCATCCACACCTTTGACTTTATCAACTGAGCAGAAAAAGTCTATAGCTGACATGCTAAACATCAAGAGTCGAAAGTTTAGATCTCATTTATCAGCTCAATACAAGAACATCATGTGCAGGAAGCCTAGTGAAAGTGCCCTTGCATGTGTTTAACAATTAACAGTAATATAAAATTGCATGCAACACACACACATAGCTCCTTATCAAAAACACACACACACACACACACACACACACACACATAGCTCCTTATCAAACACACACACACACACACACACATAGCTTCAATTACGAAGAGTAAATTGTTAAAATATCTGTGAAAGTGAACACTCCATTTTGGTTGTGTATCACTATAAAGAACTAAGAATTGAGATCAGCATTACTAGAGCATGATCTAAGAAAATTAGAGCTAAAGAATGAATACACTCCTAGAGCAATACAACACTTCAAGCCCGATAATAGTTTCCATTTAGCTAACAAAAACTAGACAAAGTATGTCAATGACTCAGAATTGAAGATGGTTAAAACAAGATAAGTCAATCTAGCCAAATAAAGAGTGTGTCATTGGTTAGTTCTTTAAGATTCATGCTATCAAAAGAAACAGAAATAGACAGTAGAATTTCTTTTAGCTCCTCCCTTCGAAATGTGGCCATGACTCATAATATCCTCTGCTCTTGTTTATCTTTTATAAATTGCTAGCCAATTATAATCTCTTACTGTTTACACACAACATGTATGCAGCAGTGATGAATAGTTCATGCTAGTTGTATATACAATCTAGTTATGTCGAGTAGTCTGATTCACCAGACAAGATAAAGTCACTATAAAGACCACAAGATTATAATAAGATTATGAAGGAGAATACACTAAGGGTATCCGATTGATGATTAATAAATGCAAGGCGGACGAGCCGGAAAAACTTTTCTTACATTTGACTCATCAGTTAACTGTGAAATTGCAGTTGTACTTTTCTTTTTCAATATTAATCCATTCAATCGGGTAGAGGATAATGGGGACGAGGCACGGTTAGAGAGCTTGGGTTTGTGAACGAGAAAGCATACTGGCGGGTGAGTGCTAGAGGGAGGTAATTTTAATCCTAAGGAATCGGATATCATTCCTAACCCCCTTAGCAAAAAGCACTAAAGTCTAAACAAATGGCAGATAAGGGATTATAATCTCCTCGTTATCTAGTTCATTATCCAGCAATCAAAAACATTATCGCATAGCACTATAGCAGCTAGTTGCTCTAAACACGCCGTGCAAGTTCTAATTCATCTCCAAGTGGCTTCTTATGAAACATGACTTGCAATAAACCAGAGACGAACTTATGCAAGTCAGAGTAGTTAACATCAGAGGCAATTCATAAGGGTTCACAAGACCCGACGCTCCTGAAGTTTAAAGGCAGAGGGCATTTCCAGAGTATGAATCTAAACACATGCATGGAGCCACATACAAGAAAAGGTTGTATAGCCAAATTGCTTTTGAATCAGTAAAATAAGCACAAGTATTTAATTAGTATGTTAAGTGGAGTGACTTACATGCCATCGCCAAATTCTTCGTTAATAATTTCCTTGATACTCTCACCAAAATGCATGACGGCTTCATTCAATCTGTTGAAGAGACAAAATAATCGAATTTAGTCTTGACATGCAACAACACAAAGCTTTCCAAAAAACTTTGCCCAAAAGGTCTCGCTGACAACTTAACAACACTTAAGCACTGCTAATGCTGTTACCTAATAATCTAATGATTTCACAGGAACAAAGAAATGGAAAGTTAGCAGCTTTCTCACATTCCGTTCCTTCTGTGTTTTCTCCCTGCCCCGGTATCTCCACTAACAACACTTTATGTGATGCTGGCGAAGGCAGATTCAGGGTTTAAAGACAGTGGGTACACCACTTAATATATATTCATAATCTTAACAAGTTTCTTTATATATTATATAAAAATATACAGTCTGAGTACAAAGCAGTAAGTGCGCGTGCACCACTGGTTATATTCCGGATCTGTCTCTGGCTGCTGGACATGTCAATGTTATACCAGAATTTTTCACTTTCTAACTAGGACTATAACTTTCATCCAATCTCTACGTAAGAATTTCAAATTTCCTGTATGCCACATATTCCTCTAGTTTTATCAACTTTCATACATTATAGCAAGATAAAAGCTTTTCAGATAATGAACAGTCAAAAAACAATGAAGTGGATAACTTTATATGATGGTTTATCGAATCAAGTTAATAGTAATATCCGGTTTTTCCAACCCCACATCCTACTCTAGTTCAATCAGCTACCATATACCATTGAACTCATTGTTCTATAACGTCAAAACTCTAATTCTAATTAACCCTCGAAATCCAAAAATAAGGCCATTTCCTTGAATTGGGCGTTTTCTGTTTTTTCATGGGAAACTCCACTGATACTATTAAAGAAATTAAGTTTGTTTATCTCACTTAACTTTGAATCCGTTATATCAGATTTTTCCAGTATTCCCAGTCCCATTTTACTCTAATTCTATCAACAACCACACACCATAAAGATCAAATCTTTATAGAAAATCAAAAATCAAGAAATGGGTGAAGCGGGCCACCTGTAAACATTGAGTATTGAATCAAGTTAACAAGAATTTCAAGTTTTTTCCTATCCCCGTCTTACTCTAGCTCTATCAACTACCATACACCATAAAAATCAAATCTTTATACAACAATAACAACGCTTCAGTCCCAAACAAGTTGGGGGATCAGTTTGGGGGATCAGTGAGGATTCATCATAAAATTGACTAGTTTTACGCCGGCAGCCAACCAAAGATTAAATCTTTATATAAAAATAAAATAAAAAAATCAAGAAATGGGTGAAATTGGCAACCTGTAAACAGTGGGGTCTTGAATTAAATTAGGGTCATAAGACCTTAAGGGTGCCTCCATCATATCATGAAGTTGTTCATCAGATAACGAGGGAAGTGCAGCCTTAAGCTTTGGAGCAGTTTCAGGTTTGAGCTGAGCTTGACGTCTCAAAAGCTGAGCAACATACACATTTGTGAGACCAGTTTCTTCTGCTATTTGACTAAATGTTTTGCCAGATTTTTGTTTCACTGACATAAGTGATGCCACCATGTTTGCTTTGTTGCTTTGCTTCTCCATTTTTTTAAACTTTTGTTATATGCTGCCAAGGGAAGAGGGGTTGCGGATATATGTAGCTATAGGGGTGGTGATTAGATTTTGGGACCCAATTATCCTACTAGTACTACTTTGCAAAGTCCAATTTGATAAGAAATTTCAGTAGGAGAAAGGGTGGTAATTTTGAGTTTTGGCTCTGACTACTAATTGGACCTTTAGTACTTCAACAGTCCTACTTCTCTTTATCTCTGTTTTGTACTATATTCAGCTCATTTGGGAATATTTGTTGGTATTCCTCCATTAAATATTACTACTACTTCATAATTAATTACTCTAATCAAGAAGAGACAAATGTCATAAAATTCTAAAAAATCAGAAATCAGGTACTCCCTCCGATCCAAAATAAGTGATTTTTTTGAATGCTTTCACACAAATTAAGAAATCCACCTTTTAACATTAATTAGCAACGAAATTGACCATATTAACCTTTACTATCTCACATAAACACTCCTAATACATATTCCAAGACCATTTACTTCAAGGACAATGTAGGAAAAAAATAATTAATTCATTCTTGAAATCTGGAAAAATTACTTATTTTGGACCACAAGAAAAATGTTAAAAAATCACTTATTTTGGACCGGAGGGAGTATAGTCAAACCTTTTTATAATAACATTATTTGCTCTGCTACTTTTTTGGCTTTCTATAGTAATTGACTATTATACACCTATAATAATATTTGACGTTTAGATATTATTTGTCTGTTATAGATAAAAATTGTTCAAGAATCAATTTTTACCCTTTTTTGATGAAACATATAAAACAAAAAAAATATTCAACTTTAAAATCTCAAAAGATATGAATATTTTATTAAGAAATATTAAGAAAGCTAATATATTATTAATAAATTTATAACTAAATTTGTAAAAGATTTAAACTTTTGTGCAATAAAACGAAAACTTTAATGAAATATTGATTATGGAAGTAAGATAATATTTTTTTATCATACATGATGCATTAAAGTTTTAAAATATTTGGTCAAAATCATTAGATTCGTAATTGGTAATCTTAGAGATTTTATATAGCTATTTTAGAGGGGTAATTTTACAAAGAGCATACTGTTATAAAGATGAATGTTATTGTTATAGATAATAAGAATGCAGTGACATAATATATATGTATATAGATGAGTAGAAAGTTCTAGATTATAAAAGTCAGTTAGTTAGTTAAATGGTTAGTTAGTTAGTTAGTTAGTTAAAAGTTGTTCTATATATATGTACATAGACATTGTACAAACTAACTCTCATATATGAAATCATTTGTCTTATGCAATATTTCTCTCTCTAAACTCTTATCTCCAATTCTCCTCCGCCGATTAGGGTTCGTTAATTGTTCCCAAATTCACATGGTATCAGAGCTTCCAATTGCGATTGTGAGTGTGCATTGTAGATTCTGGAAGATCCTGTTCGATCTACGACACGATCCACAAGTGAATTGAAGAAATTGAGAGCTCAACAATGACAACAAAGACAGATTTGGATCACAATCATCCAATGTTTCTTCATCCTTCAGATACGACAGAGCTCCGATAATATCGATCCAACTGACTGTTCAGATAATTACACCACCTGGAGTAAAGCGATGGAAATCAAATTGCTTGGGAAGAACAAGTTAGGGGTAAGTCGACGGGACTCTAAAAAGAGGGATTTTGATAGAGAACTAGGTCATCAATGGGATTGTTGTAATGTCATTTTCTTAGGATGGATCATGAGCTCAGTATCGAAGGAATTTATAAAAGGGATAGTGTATGCTCTTAGATAGTTATGTGTAATAGTCCTAGTCCTATATGTAGTTGGAGTAGAATATGTCTTAAATCCATATGTAGTAGGAGTATAATATGCCCTAATCCCACATGTAGTAGGAGTAGAATATGTATTATATATAGGACTCATTGTATCATTGTTAAAATATCAATAATATATTTTCTCCCGTGCTTTATCACATGGTATCAGAGCTTCAGTGAGAAAATTAACGTGTCGTCATTCCAGCGACATCCGGGAAGAAAGATCTCATCGCCGTGCAATTTTTCGGAAACTTCGTCTTGTTTCCAGGGTTCATCACTTCTACAGTGGTACTGTGCATATACCAATACCACCATCAGATCTGAAACCCTTGTGCGACCAAACCCCGGAAACTCCAATTCCATATGAACAGAAAAGTCAGTCACCGTGCGTCTTTCCGGTTGATGACTCAAGATTGATTTGCATTATCTCCTCATCGGTAAATGTTGTATGAAAATCAATACTACCATCTTGTTCGAAAAAGTCAGGCGACAAAACCCCAGTTATTCGCTCTGGCAGAAAGTCACGCGCCTCCATGTGCCGCTAGAACTAGGGTTTCGGCGAGCTACAGCAACTTTTCGGCTCATGTGGGCCATTCCGGCCACTTTTTGAGAAAACTTATTCAGAACAACTTACTCGTCTAGTGATTCCAAGCCTACCCATATAAATTACATCAAATTCTGATAACTTTTATTTTTTCCGGCGTGAACATTGCAATTTCAGTTTTGTTGCTTAGGGGGAGCCTAGTGGCCTTGTATGTAGAATGATCAGCTTGCAGATATTTTCATCAAGTTTCTCACTGGTCCTCGTATTAGTTACATATATAACAAGCTCGATACATATGATTTGTATGCACCGGTTTGAGAGGGAGTCTTAGATAGTTATGTGTAAATAGTCTTTGTCTTATATGTAGTTGGAGTAGAATATGTTCTAATCCCATGTGTAGTAGGAGTATAATATGTCTTAATCCCATATGTAGGAGGAGTAGAATATGTATTATATATAGGACTCATTGTATCATTGTTAAAATATCAATAATATATTTTCTCCTGTGCTTTCTCACATATGCTAAAAATGCTAGGGAATTTTGGGAAGATCCGAGGGAGCAATTTGACAAAGTGAATACTTAACGAATCTATCAGTTGCATAAAGAAATAGCAACAATCACTCAAGGAACATATAATGCGTCATTATATTTTTCCAAACTGCGCAACCTCTGGGATGAATATCTGGCAAGTTGGCAGCAAGCACTTCCTCCCCTCTTTGTGTGGAAAAGCTTCTGAAATTTGACAACATAGTACCACCTCCATGTGACTGTGCAAGGTCTAAGAACTTCATTGAATTTATGCAAAAGCAGAAAGTTTTGCAATTTTTGATGGGACTAAATGAGACCTATGATCATGCTAGGAGTCAAATTCTTATGACTAGTCCCACACCAAACATAAATAAAGCTTACTCAATGCTAGTTGAGAGAAAGTCAGAGGTCAATGGCTAACACCATGACAACAGGGCATGGAAATGAACCTACAGCTCTTTTAGCTGGTAAGAGTGATGAGTAACAGAACTACCAAAGACCAAAGAGGAAGTGGAATGTTCAGCGTGACTATTGCAAAATGAAGGGACACACAAAGGAAGAATGTTACAAATTAATTGGATATCCTGCAAGCTTCAAAGGAAAGAAGAAAATGAACATGAACACTGCATATAATGCATGTGCTGAGAATGTTCATCCAAACATAACTGTTGGGAATGCAGGAAATACTGGACAGTTTGAGGGATCTAATAAAGAAGAGATGGCTAGAGCACCATAACTGACCACATAACAATATGATCAGATTATGAAGGTGCTGAGTATGAACACTAATCGAGAACCACCACAGGAAAATATAGCCAACATGGCAGGTAATGCTTACTCATTTCTTCTTGATATAGCAAAGGCACATTGGATAATAGATACAGGAGCAACCAATCATATGATCGCAGATCTAAGACTGTTAAGTAACATTAAAGCAGTTGATACTACATACACTAAGAAGGTAAATTTTAAAATGGAGAAGTAGCACAGGTTACACATATTGAAAACTGCAGAATAACAGGCATAGAGGAGGTCAAAAATGTCTTGTTTATACCAGATTTCAATACAATCCCGTGTCAGTTTCTAAAGTAACAAAAGATCTTAAGTGTTTAGTTGCATTCTACCCTGATTTCTAATTATTCCACTAGGGAGTGAAGGGGATTGGTAAAAAAAAAGATGGGCTTTATCTGCTAGTTTCACAAATATACAATCTAGTAGAACCAGGGGGCAAAAGAACTACAAAATGACTAATAGTACAAGAGAACAAAGAAAAAGCTATGATCTGGCACAAAAGGCTGGCACATGCTTCAGGAGGTTCTATGAAAAGTCTTATAGGATACAACTTAGAAATTTGTTAGTCTGTAGTACATAAGTGTATGTCTATTAGCTAAACATCACAGATTATATTTTTTTTAAGTACTAGCAGATCAAGTAAGGTGTTTCAGCTACTAAATTTAGATGTTTAGGATCACTATAATGCACCAACTTTTGATGAAAACAAATATTTTCTAACAGTTGTAGATGATTATTCTCGTGTGACATAGATTTCTTTTTGTTGAAATTCAAATCAGATGTTATAATAGTTTTGAAGAACTTCATTAAAATGATTTCCAATCAGCTTAATACTGTAGTTCAGACAATTAGATCTGATAATTGAGGGGAGTTTGTGAACTCATAAATGCAAGAACTGAGTAAATCTTTGGGAATTATACATCAGAAAATATGTGTTTACACACCCCAACACAATGGGGTGGCAGAGAGGAAGCACATACATCTACTTGAGGTTGCAAGAGCAATAAGGTTTCAAGGTTACACCCCTCTCAGACTTTGGGGTCATTGCATATTGGCTGTAGCTTACGTGATAAACAGACTACTATCTGTAGTTCTTGAAAGTAAATCACCTTATGAAGTGTTCTTTAACAAGAAACCTTCTATAAGTCATTTAAGGACTCTAGGATGTCTTTGTTTTGCTACTGCATTACCACGGGGAGATTAGTTTGCCAGTAGGGTAGTTAAGGCAGTATTTATGGGATATTTTAGTGTAACCAAAGGTTACATTCTATATGACTTGGAGAAACATCTATTCTTTGCAAACAAGGATGTCATTTTTAGAGAGAATGTCTTCCCATTTCAGCTCCAGTCATTAGAGATAGATAAAACAATAGATCCTTTTCTCATGCATGATGATAATAGTTTGCCAGCAGCTTCAACAATACCAAGTCCACCTGTATTTAAGTCGACTACAGCAATTGATCCTGCAACTGTCGCAGGAGATATCCCCATAAATACCCAGAATGCTTCACCTTCTGAAGATGTTTATGAGAATGATAGCCTTCAGGATACTTCTACCTCACATGAGCCACTAGACTCAGATGAACCTGTAGAGGAAATATTTCCAGCCACAAGCAATATTGACACTGGTGCCCCTCTAAGGAGATCTCAAAGAGGCTCCAAGGAGCCTGTATGGATGACAGATTATGTCACCAACAAACCTTCTACTAGCTCAATTCTATATCCTATTGAAAACTCTGTCAACTATGATAGGTTATCATCATCTTATCACACATATCTTGGAGCTTTTTCAGAAATCACAGAACGTAAGAACTTCCAGCAGGCCTCCCAAGATAAAAGATGTGCAGAAGCAATGTAGGCAGAAATTCGAGCATTACAGGAGAATAATACCTGGAAATTGGTTAAACAACCATCAGGAAAGAGACCTATAGGATGCAAATGGGTGTACAAAGTGAAACTCAAGAATAATAAAGAGGTACAAAGATTTAAAGCTAGGCTAGTAGCTAAAGGTTATAACCAGAGAGAAGGATTAGATTATAATGAGACCTTCTCTCCAGTGGTTAAGATAGCTACTGTCAGGACTGTTTTTTCAATTGCTGCTATGCAGAATTGGTTTGTTCATCAACTAGATATGTACAATGCTTTCTTGCAAGGAGACCTTCATGATGAGGTCTATATGAAACTTCCACAGGGTATTACAAGTTAGGGGGAGCCAGGTGTGGTCTGCAAACTTGTAAAATCCTGCTATGGGCTTAAACAAGCTAGTAAGCGGTGGAATCCGAAATTAACATAAGCACTATTGCGTTCTGGTTTTCATCAGATTAGCCTAGATCACTCCCTGTTCATCAAACAATAGGAATCAGACATTGTTGTGCTTCTAGTCTATGTGGATGACATGCTAGTGACAAGAAGCAACCTACGCCTGATTGAATATGTTATTTAGTTATCAAATATAAATGAAGCTGGTTGAACAACACGTTCATGGTATAATGATCTATAAATAATTGTTGATCATTAATTAGGGTGGCTCAATGAGACTGGTGACTTAAAACTAAAATATATTAAAAGAACCTAAAATTTCATACATAAAATTCATATAATATTTAGACAAAAAAAGTCTACATGGCTTTGATCTAGTGGTGAGATAGCAACATATAATGTGTGAGTTAGGTGCACGTCATATTGAACGTTCCCCTATACAAAAATATAGCATTTAGTGAAAATGGTAAAAGGGTTGAGCCTATTATCCATAGTGTTTTGAACTTTACGACACTTGTGGGGATTTCTTAGTTAAAAAAGATGAGACACAAAAGAACTTGCTTTCTGATGGGTTGATCAATCAAATGTGACAAAAATGAATAGCTAATTTAGAGAATCTAAGTTGAAATTAGAAATTAAAATAGTAAAAATATGAAAAGACTATACATAAAGAAATAAAAATAGAATTGATGAGAAGGTAAATATATTACTTAATTTAAATTTTCCCTTAGTCTTGGGCCAGTTCTAGTCATGAGATGACTTTGCACTTACTCTTTTCATTCACAATCTCTCTCTGTTCACCGCTCTCCCTGTGGGTCGAGCCTTCTTTTTAGTTGCCCTCTATAACTAAGTCAGTTGAGCTCTTTCGGCTCATAAACCAAATGTTACTAAAAGTTTTATCCTATTAACTCATTAACAAAAACATTAAAATTTAAAATATTTTATCTAATTGTATAAATACATATTTACTTATATTATATAATGATATAGTAATATTTCATATTTTTAGTGCCTCAAGTATTTGGGGTCTAAGGAAAGAGCTTCACTTACCTTAGCCTAGAGCCTCTTTCGGATACGAACCAAAGCCTAACTTTATTCAAATTTCATAATTGAGGCCTCAATAGGGGAGAAATTCAAAAATAGCCAGATTTACAAGTGGTTGTTCAAAAATAGTCCAGTTTCAGAAGTAATCGAAATTTAGTCACTTTTTATGTAAAGATAAATCTGAGCGAAAACACTGTTCAAAACCCGAAAAATACGCCAGTATATTATGCTGGAGTTCCAGCATAAGTATACTTGAACTCCAACATATTATACTGGAGTTCCAGGATAAGTATGCTGGAAGTTCATACACAAGTGCTCAAATCTCTAGTATATTATGCTGTAACTTTCCGTGTGTTGGAGTTCCAGCATAATATGCTGGAAGTTCATACACAGGTGCACCGAACTCCAGTATATTATGCTGGACCGGTCTCTGTTGCAGCAAAATAGTGGCTATTTTTCATTGACTTGGTAAACGCTGGCTATTTTTGAATGACCAGACCGAAAACTGGCTAGACCGTGCTATTTTTACCTTCAATAGAGCCAAACCATATCCGTTGGTCTGAATTTGAAAACTTGAGACACTCGATTTTCTAACTTCAGACCACCAAAGTGATTTTGAAGCGGCTAAACTTTAAATTCTTTGTAAAAAGTGGCTATTCTTTAAATAGATGTCTTAAAATCGGCTATTTGTGCACTTCGCCATGTTGATAATTTGATATAGAGAAAAAGTTCAAATGCCTTTCGTAACAGTTGGTTTCTTTTGCAATCTTTGATATGCTATAAGAAACTGAAGAGAAGACAATCAATAGGTGAGTTATAAACTCTCTGTTTCTTGTTCTTTACAACATACTTGCTGAGTTTCTGCGTGTTTATGTTTTTGTGTTGGAAATGAGGTGGAATTAATACGTGTATAGTTTGTAGTATGCAGGAAGTAAATTTTTTCCATATCTGTGTTTGAAGGGATGATTAAGAGAATCATCAGTTGCAAGTTTGTAGCTGCTGTAAAGCCTGTTAGTTTAATTGAATGCTAGGTGTTTGTTAAAATGTCTAGCTGGCCGATGGATGTGAGAACAAGAAAAACATATTTTCCTGTTATTAGTTTTTTTTTTTGTTCCATGATGAACAAGTTATCACTTAAGTTACCATGTGTAGGAAATTGGACTTTTTTTTTGTGATTACCGATAAATCCTCGAGGGCCAGCTTGAACAAAACTCATTGGATAATGGGTCCGTCCCTCTACTGCGAGTATACCACTGAACCAAAACCGGGGGGCAAATTGGACTGGCTATTTCTTGAGACTGTAACTTGTGAATTATAATACTTACTTTACTGGATACACCATCTACTCTTGGAAAACCTTAATTCTAAAGTATGGATTTCCAGGCAATTGTCTATTTGTGTTTAGAATTATAATTAATCATTCATTAATATTGTTGCCTTAACTGTTTTTGACTGCCAGGCCGAGTATGTTCTCCTGATCAGCTACATTTGCAAAGATGTGTGGACAAACCAGTCGACTTACATTACAAGAATTTGCACGACACTTGCAGTTAGTATACATTAGTATGATCAATCATTCTCTGCTCTGGTGGTGGTGCAGTAGAATGTATGCAAGTGTAACAAATAACATGTACTAGCTAATCTGGTATAGCCATTAAGGGCTTTGAACCATTATCCCAAGGAACCTCAGACAAATGATCAGTATTTATAGATAGCTGTGATTATGATTTCTATGGTGGTTTGAAAGGAAGGGTCGTGTATTGGAGAAGTCTTAGGACTTGTTTCTGAGATGAGGAATGGACAAAAATGATCTGCCATTTTCACCATTCTAAATGATCCGAATAGCAGTTAGCGAAACTCACTCTGCCTTAACGCCCTTCACACAAAAGTGCAGAACTCTCAACCACCTAAAAGAACTCCATTGCCAACTCCTCAAACACTACCTCCCTGAAACTCCATCAGCCATTACCCCACTTCTTTCATTTGCCGTCAATTCTAGGAATCCTTCTTTCTTTAATTATTTGCGTATTGTGTTTCAAAATCTTGGCTACCAAAGTACTTTTCTGTACAATACCATGATCAGAGGATACATGCAATCAGATTTGCCGATACCAGCAGTTCTATGCTACAAAGATATGCTAAGAGATAAGCTTATTGTAAATAATTATACTTTTCCGCCATTGATAAAGGCTTGTTCAATGATTTTAAATGAGTTTGGTCAACGTGGTTTTTCAGTGCATGCCCATTTGCTGAAAATGGGATTACAACATGACCGGTTTATTGTTGCATCATTGATTGAATTTTATTCCCTAAATCACGAGATGGACAGAGCACGTATGTTGTTTGATGAAATTCCCAACAGAGATGTGGTTATGTGGACCACCATGATTGATGGATATGGGAAAATAGGGGAGGTGGGGAAAGCTAGATTGTTATTTGAAGAAATGCCAGAGAGAAATGTGATTTCTTGGAGTGCAATGATGGCAGCATATTCACGGGCTAGTGATTTTAAGGAGGTGCTTTGCTTGTATCGAGGGATGGAAGAAGACGGTCTTAAGCCAAACGAGTCTGTTCTTGTGAGTGTTCTCACGGCTTGTGCTCATCTAGGTGCACTGGCACAAGGTCTTTTGGTACATTCATTTGCTAAGCATTATAATTACAAGTCAAACCCAATATTGGCTACTGCATTAGTTGACATGTACTCTAAATGTGGTAGAATGGAGTCCGCTTCATCAGTTTTTGAAGCGATGACTTATAAGGATACTGGAGCATGGAATGCCATTATATCAGGCTTTGCAATGAATGGAAATGCAGTGAAATCGGTTCAATTGTTCGATAGGATGATAGCAAGTGGGAATCGGCCAAATGAAACCACTTTTGTTGCTCTGCTCTCTGCTTGCACTCATGCAGAAATGGTCGACGTCGGTCTTTCTCTATTTGCAAGAATGGGCAGTGTTTATGGAGTTGAACCCAGGTTTGAACATCGCGCATGTGTGGTAGACCTGTTAGCAAGAGCTGGCAAGCTCGAGGATGCTGAGAAGTTCATTGAGGAGAACATGGGAGGGATAGAGAAAGTGGATGCTAATGTGTGGGGAGCTTTACTTGGTGCTTGTAGGGTATATGGTAATGTTGAAGTAGGTGATAGGATATGGAGAAAGCTGTCTAACATGAAGGTAACTGACCATGGTACTTGTGTACTTGCATACAATATATACAAGGAAGCTGGTCGAGATATAGAAGCTAAGTGTGTTAGGAAATTGATCGAGGAGATGAGGATAAAGAAGCAGCCTGGATGTAGCGTCATAGAGGTAAATGATATAGCTGAGAAATCCCTTCCAAGTGATCTATTAGTACATCCTAAGTGACAACAAGTCTGTAACTTGCTTAGTCGTTGCCTAATATAATGTATCTTATTGATTGAATATGATACTAAATGGTCAGATTATAGACAAAAGTAATGTGTTTCTTTTCGTTTGTTTTTCTTCTGAAACTAAGTTGCTCCATATTATGTAAATGACCTGTGGAAATTGGTAATCAGATTCAGAGTGGTTCTGATGCTAAGCTATGTGGTTCCTAAGATTGCTGCCGACCAGATTGATTAATTACTTGAACAACCTGTGCGTCATTTGATTCATTGCTGGGTATTTGCATCTATACCCGCTTTTTGGGTCACGTTTTAACTTGTGCCCGCTTTGGAAAAAAATTTGCAAGCGTACCCGCTTTTTCGCGTAACTTCAGCATACGGGGCTGAAGTAGCAAAGGCAATCACGCAAAACTTCAGCATTCTAGTAGACGGGCCTGAAGTAGCAAGTGTGCTGAAGTTTTTGTTTGTGATTGCTGAACTTAGGCATAGTAGCTGAAGTTTTGTTCTCTATTTGCTGAAGTTTTTGTTTGCAATTGCACTAAATAAGCTGAAGTTTTTTGTCCTGGATTCATTAGTTTTGTCATTAAGCTTTTTCAAAAACTTCAGCAGAAGATGCTGAAGTTATTTAGTTCATTTATAAAAACTTCAGCACCAAATAAGCTGAAGTTTTTTTGTCTTGGATAAGCTTTTTCAAAAACTTCAGCAGAGATGCTGAAGTTATTTAGTTCATTTATAAAAACTTCAGCACTAAATAAGCTAACGTTTTTTTTTGTCCTTGATAAGTTTTCAAAAACTTCAGAACAGAGATGCTGAAGTTATTTAGTTCATTTGTTAAAAAAACTTCAGCTTATTTAGTGCCTGAATTTTTATAAAAAGTGAAATTTTTAAGACATGCCGTCTCCCCCAGATTGTGATCAGTTTCATGTTTTCTAGAAAAACCACGAATGTGAGTTGAGCAAGTTTTTTGAATGCTTAGTATGATTGTATTTTTGAGCTATAGTAGCAGATGCATAGATAATATCATTTCATTTGACAGTAAACTAGTAATGCAGCATAGATTTCCCTCACATTTTTCACACATTCCCACCCGCTTCACAGACAATTGCTTCGACACTCTCAGTTCTACACACAGAAGAATCAAAGAAGAATCAAATACTGCTCCATTGATCCAATTGCCTCTAATATCTACTGAAGAAGCAGAATGTTCAGCAGCTGTGGCACAATACAGAAAGCAAAAAGATGAAGAAAGAGAGAGCGAGAAGCTTCATAAAACCCTCATGAACTTGATATACGAGTCATCAGGATTCAACATATATCTGTATTACTGTATATTCATAGCAGCACCAACAACAACAGAAGAAAGAAGAAGAAGAAGAAAACGAAGGAGGAGAAAGGGGGTTGAAGTTGTTTAAAAAGTGGGTACAAGTTAAAACTTTTAAAAAAAATGGGTATAGGTTTGGCGCCCCGTGCAACTTTTACTTCATTGCTATCTTGCAGTTTTATGCTTTGTGGCCCATTCTTACAATTTCAACAGTGTGTATCTATGATGAAAGTGTTCATAGTAAATCGAGCATCACAGTATGGTTGATTTGTTTTCGATTCGCCCCGACCCCCTTGCCCCTTATCTTTCTTTTTGTCTTTTCTTGTTTTATTTTCGACTTGTGTCACCCATCTTTTGATGCTCTAGGTCTTTAAGCATGCGTTGCATGTGGTTGTAATGAAAATACAGTCAAACCTCTCTATACCAGTATTGTTTGTATTGATATTTTTTGGCTTTTATAGTGAATGACTGTTATACACCTATAACAATGACTGTTATACACCTATAACAGTATTTGACGTTTAAATTTTTTGGCTTTAATAAACAAAAATTATTCAAGAATCAATTATCACGAAAATTATTCAAATTTAAGTATTCAAAAGACATGCATATTTAACTAATTAAGTATTTTTAAGAAAGTTAATACATTATTAATAAATTTATAATTAAACGTACAAAGATTTAAACTATGAGGCACACATTTTAAAGCTACAAGAAGATTAATTCTTTCAAGGTTGATGGAAGATCTCTATAATTGTAGCTTGTTCTGTAGATTCCAGTCTCTTACTAGCAATATAACGTTTGAATTGGCGAAGATTTATGTTCAAATTTTCAGCAAAAAAGTATCTGATAGCTTTCCCTTGAAGACAGTCTAATAGCTTAACAATTGAATTTTTTATCTTAGTTCAAGTAGTAGTAGGTTGAGGTCAATATCTTTAAACTTATTATTGGTATTCTTAGAGATTCTACATGGCTATTATAAATGGGTAATTTTACAAAGAGCGTACCACTATAAAGATGGATGTTGCTTTACATGTAAAAAGTTGTTATAGAGAGGTGAATATAACATAAAAAATCTGTTCGAGAAAAAACTTACCTTTTATAGCGAATGATTGTTATAGATGTTCTTATAGAGAGGTTTGACAATATAATAAAACAGTCAGACCTCTCTATAACAACATCCCTATATAACAACAATTCGCTATAAAAGCCAAGTTTTCTTCAGAACCGGTTTTTAAGTTATATTTTACCTCTCTATAACAACTTTTTACCTATAACAACAACAATCATATTTATAGCAGAACACTCTTTGTAAAATTACCCCTCTATAACAACCATATAAAATCTATAAAATTACTAATAATAATTCTAAAAACATGCACACAATCTTTTCCATTAACTAAAGCTTATATCTTGCATAAGATATAAGATTTGAAGATTTGCATATGATATCTTTTTCATTCGACAAGTTTCAAAAAATAATTAGATAGAAAATTTAACTATTAAGCTCTTAGATTGTCTTCAAGAAAAAACTATTGGATACCTTTTTGCCGAAAATATGGACACGAATCTTCGCCAATTCAAGCGTTATATGGCTAGTAAGAGAGTCAAATCTACGAAACAAGCTGCAATTACAACGTTCTTCTATCAATCTTGAAAAAAATTATTTTTTAGGTAGCTTTAAAATGTCAACCTTAGAGTTTAAATCTTTAAAATTTTAGTTATGAATTTATTAATAATGTATTAGCTTTCTTCAATATTTAACGAGTGAATTAGGTATATCATGTGAGATTTTAAATTAGAATAATTTTCTTATCTTTTACTCCGTAACATTAAAAAAGGAAAAATAATTCATTTTTGGATAAAAAATTGTAACAGCCAAGAAATATTTAAATGTCAAATACAGTCATATGTGTATAACAACCATTCACTATAAAAGCAAAAAAATATCGGAACAAACAAGGCTATTATAGAAAAAGTTGACTGTGTATGTTTATGAAATGTGGCCAAGTATGGTAAGTTTAAATTTGACACAAAGTGTTGTCACGACCCGAAACACGCACTGGTCGTGATGGCGCCTCTCGTGAAGACAAGCCCAGCCAACTAACCCAAGTAAACTCTTTCAAAATAAGTAAACATAAATGAATAGTAAGGTACGCCTAAATGACTTTAATTAACAATATTTACAACCCCAACACAGCCCGACCGGGTGTCACAAGTCACGAGCATCTAAGGAAGCCTGAACACTGCTACAGGGCCAATAATATACTAAACAGAATCTGAAATCAGAAGACAAAGTCTGGTGCCGTGAACGCTGGCGGTCACCTTGCTCAGCTACAATAGATATACCTTCAACCAGCTCAAAACCCGCTACCGGGTGTATAATACCTGCATCTGCACGCGAGGTGCAGGGAGTAAAGTGAGTACTCCAACTCAGTGAGTAATAGAAGTAAATAATAACTGAGCAGCAAGAAATCACGTAAAGCAACCAACGGGATGTACAGAAGCCGGGTACAGTTTTCGAGAAAACAGTGAAATTAGAGAACTCTTTAGAAAGGTTTCAGCTCAGTTCAAATCTCTTTTGAAAATGGTCCTTTCAATAATTATGAAAGCTGTTCAAAATAGTTAGTGCTGATTAGCACAGAAAATCCGCCCCTCGGGCACAAATACCACAGCATAGCAGGTAAAAATGCAGATAAGTATGCAAGATGAGCACATAAAAGTTCGCCCCTCGGGCATGAATTTCGTTACTAGTCAGTCATTGTTACCTGACCGGTCAGCCATTGTTACCTGACCAAAATGCGTATTACAGTGCCATTGTTACCACTGGTCAGTCATTGTTACTTGACTGGTCAGTCATTGTTACCTGACCAAAACGCGTATGACAGTGTCATTGTTACCACTGTCTAAAATTTAACCGCTCTAGATGGGTACCTGCGCTCACTGTGGGGGTGCAGACTCCGGAGGGGCTCCTACAGCCCAAGCGCTATATCATCATAAGGCCTGAAAGCCTGTACATATCAACATGAGGCCTGAAAGCCTTCTCACAGCACACTCGAGGCCTGAAAGCCTCCTCACAATACACTTGAGGCCTGAAAGCCTCCTCACAATACACTCGAGGCCTGAAAGCCTCCTCACATCACTCAGCATATCCTCACATATGGCCCTCGGCCTCAATCAGTCCAAAAATAATCATAAGCCCCTCGGGCATCAGTAAAGAAACAATAATGCCAGCTCAAACAGTAGTTCAAATATCAGTTAAAACTCTAGGTTGAGTAAAAATATAGCTGAGTTCATGAAACAGTGTAATGACAATGGACTGAGTTCAAATAATATTTCAAATAGTGAGGAAAACAGTGATGATAGCTCATAGGGAGTTCAAACAGTCGGCAATAAGCC